GCAGATTATCTCAATGATTGCAAATTTTATTCCTGCAGGACCCCACATTTATTGGTAAACTCCCAAAGATCTTCCAGATGATGTTTTTTCATCTGAAAATGGAAATATATGCTTTCATCCAATCCAATCCAAAGCATGTATGTGTGTGTATATATATATATATATATATATATATATATAAAATCAGTACTAGGGAATGAACTCAGGACCTATGCCCTGAGCTATAATGCCAGCCATCCTTTAAATTTTTGTTTTGAGACAAGGTCATGCTGACTCACAGAAGTTCCCAGACTGGGCTACAACTTGTGATTCTCCTGTCTCAGCCTCCTAGAGTGCTGAGATTAGAGGCATGTGCCACAATGGCCTGCTACACCATTACTTTATGTATACATGAAAAGAAAATGCTACCTATTAAGTTACATTTCATCGATTGTAAAATGCATCTAGATTCCAGACACAGTAATAAGGGAATAAGGTTGAAATTATAGCCTGGCTTATTTAACCAATTCTACATACAATTCTAAAGGTATCCATACTTTTAAAATTAAATATTTTGAGTAAATTGTGGTTATGTTCTCAAGATAAATGAAAGTTTAGGCAGAATAAAATTGCTTAACCTCCAAGCTTTTGTTTTTGTTTTGAAGAATCGAGGATTGAACTCAGGGCTGATCTACACATCTCCAGCCCTTTTCCTTTTTTTTTTAAACTGTATTTTGGGACAGGGACTTCTGAAGTTCCCTCGGCTAGCCTTGAATTGGTGGTCCTTTGTGTCTACCTCCCAAGTAGCTTGGATTGTAGTTGTACACTTCTATACCTATCCAACACCAGAGATTTTTTTTTTAACCTAGATATGAAACCTATCTTTTAAATGTTGAAGTTTTATATTTAAAATCCCTTGAATTCAAGTTCCATACAGTAGAACTCTGATTCAGATCTCTAATATCCTCATTGCCTGACCCCTTAATGGTAATCAGCTGGTTCATTTACTGTTCTATCTATTCTGATTTTTCCTTTTTCTGTCTGCTTGAACTGTGGCCGTGGGCTTTATGTGATGTCTTATTAGGTTCTTCACACTTATTTATATTTTACCTTAAAAACAACACACTTTATGTTAGAAAATTTTTCTTTGATTTCTTGAATGCTTTGTCTGGGATGATTTTTATTTTTTATTTTTGTCTTTCCAAGTAGTGGTGAGAAAATAGAGGCCTGCTAAGTTTACTTCCTGTGAGCCTTCAATTGATAGTGTGTCATTTATTTGTACAACCAACATCATAGAATGAAAAGAAATCAAAATTTTAAAAATGTACACATTCATAATATTCCTGTTTAAATCATTTCATTCCTGGGGCTGGGGATTTAGCACAGTGGTTCTGAAGGCCTGCCTTGCAAGCGCAAGGACCTGAGTTTGATCTCTGGTACCAAAAACAAAACAAAACAAAAAATACACACACACACACACACACACACAAACCCAAACCTGAAATAAATCATTTCATTCTTTTCATTTTAAACTCTATCTAAATAAGGATATGTTTATATAATTATCCATGTTAGAGAACTCATTTTAAAACCTGATATTTTCATACAGCATTGTTACTAGCCAGTTTATTTTCCTTTCAAAACTTTATTTTTAATGATGATGGTGGACAAGCCATATTTTACTTAACCATTCAATCTTTTCTTCACTTCGTAGTGTTACTTTATATTATACTGCAACAAATAACATCCTCATCTTCCTTTTTGCTTTGTTTGCGTTATACCTTTAGACAAGTTAGGAGAAGTAAAATTGCTTAGTCCATTGATCTAAATATTTTTATAATTTTTTTGTTGTTGTTTGAGACAGGGTTTCACTATGTAGTTGAGACTGCCCTGGAACTCACTATGTAGCCCAGGCTGGTCTTGAACTCACAGCGATCCTCCTGCCTCAGACTCCCAAGTGCTAGGGTTACAGGCATGCACCACCACGCCTGGCTATTTTTATAATTCTTTATAGCATCTGACAGTAGATTTAGAACAGTTTTATTAGAGAAAGGTATCTTTGGATACTATTTGTAATTTGTCTTACACAATCAAAGAGCTATCAAATAAGTGTTCACTGTAGAAAATGTGTCCTTCTTTGCTGGAAAGGAGCCTGTGACATAGAAACTAGTCCATGTTTCCAATTTGCCCCGGGGAAAAGTAGCATAAAATATGTGAGTAGGTTAGAATAAGATTGTTAAACCCAGTGAAAGTAAAAGAAAAGAATCTTTTCTGAGCATAGCCCTTGTAGCCCTATTTTTAATAATGCTGTATTTGTATAGTAATCGCTCCTTTTATCTTCCCAGTGTCTCCTAATGTTAAGTCCTGTTATCCTAGTTTTATGTATAAATAAATTAAGGGACAGAACAGGTGAGATAGCCTGATCAAAGTCACACAACTAAAATTAATGTTGCTGTCAGAGCTCTGATGTACTTCACCTCACAAAAGAAGAGTATAGATGAGATTAAATTTCAGGGCCAGATAAGAATTTAGAGGAAGTTCAGAAGTCTTGGATAATTTTTTTTTAATTTTATTGAATTCAAACAATAAGAAATTTTATTGAAGGGATCGGTGGTAATTCCATCACAAAAATCAATCCCCACTAAGACCATTAAAATGTAAGTTTCTAAAAGCAGAAAGTATTTGTGTTTTTTTCTTTATAAATTACAATCCTACATGTCTTTAAGGGAATTATTTTAAAGTAATTTAGAAGGTGTCTAAAAGTTAAGACTACTATTCTGAGATGATAGTATTTAGATTTAGATTCTTGAAATCTCACCGCCCTTATGAATGTACAAACTTTAAATCAGCAGCTGTCTTATTTACATCCCTGTAGAACTGCAAAAAAAATCACAGATAAGATCAGAGTTGTCCGCAGTTGTGAAACACGTCAGAAGTCACCATCTACCCCAGGATGCTGTTGCCTTTCCCCACATTTCCAGATCTTTTCTCCTCTGAAAGAAGGCCACTTGGAGAACTACATTATTTACTCAACCAGGAATTGAGAATTAATGATGAAAAACAGGCTTAAGATGTTTAAAAATATAAACAGCACTTGATCAATGGATTTTTCTTTTACCTACTGTCTCAACTTTTGCTTATTATGCATCTCATCCAAATTGGAATGTCCAATATCTTAAATTATATACCCATTCTACGATTTAGCCTGTTTTTAACTTCCTGATTTACATGCTCCTTTCTACTTCCATATTTTTACTGGAAAGAAATCTTTCAGGAGACTCTAAAGTTTCCAGAACTTTCCTGCTGACTGAAGAGGTATTCCCAAACTGCTCTAGCTCTGGACTTTCCAATTGGCCTTTTTCTTAACATTTTGGCTTTAATGTATTTTGATCACTACCTAAATATGAAAGAATGCCTCTGATACTTGGCATTTTCATTAAGATTTCGAGACTTAACCAATTTTAAAAAGTGTCAGATATCTTTTTGGCCAAGTCATATTTCTTTCACTCTGAAAGACAAGCTCAGACCTCTATACACATTTCTGTAACTCCCAGGGTCTACTCCACTTACATTTCTGGTCTCTCCAAACATATTTATTAATACAAATGTACAGGATACATATGTGTTACAGTAATTATGAATACAGACCCCTTTTCCTAGTGAAGAATATAGGTAAACATTTTCATCTTGCTGGAAAAACATGTGAAACTATTAACCTTATGCATTTGGAAGGATATGTATTCTGTGTTTTCAATAGATGTCATATACTGCATATGAAAATAAATTAGGAATAATCATGATTCATCTTTCTTTACAGATTACTTACATGAAAAACTAGAGGAATATATCAAACAATTTTCTATAGTAAAAATAGTCAGACAAAAAGAAAGGAAAGGGCTGATCACTGCTCGGTTGCTAGGAGCAGCAGTAGCAACAGCTGAAACACTCACATTCTTAGACGCTCACTGTAAGTATTTGTGTACAGATATAGTTGTAGCATTTTCCCTTTCCTCCTCTAATTTAAAAGTTAATTTTCTTTAGATGCCTAATTGCATGCTCTTGAACAGCATTTTCAAGTATTCCAACAATGACAGTCCAGGCAGACAATGGCTGTGCCTAAGAACATCCTTTCATTTGCAGAGCTCTCACCACTATGTTTAGGTCTCCTCACCTTGAATGATTTCCAGTGACCAGTGTGTATATATTTGCTGTTGTTGTTATATATGATTCTTACATTTTAAAACTAAAACAAATTTGCTGAAGTATGATCAACATTATCATTAAACTTTGTACCCATATCACCGTGTTTAACATTTATATTTCAATTCTCTCTTTTTTGGAAGACTTGTGGACTTTTTATTATGCTAAATTAGGAGTAGCCCTTCCCTACTTATATCTTTTCTATTTGCTGTTGTTGTTATATATGATTCTTACATTTTAAAACTAAAACAAATTTGCTGAAGTATGATCAACATTATCATTAAACTTTGTACCCATATCACCGTGTTTAACATTTATATTTCAATTCTCTCTTTTTTGGAAGACTTGTGGACTTTTTATTATGCTAAATTAGGAGTAGCCCTTCCCTACTTATATCTTTTCTATGAATATTGTCAATTTTTGTTTGTATTGCTGCTTTGGGGATTTTTCTTTAATTTGTTTTAGTATCACTGTTTTTGGAATTAATGTATCATGGACATGTTAGTTATTGATAAATGTCGCCTAGTCCCTTGAGCTAGTGGTCGGTTTCATTTTTTATTAAATGAGTGGTTATCTTTGAACTTGCCAGCCCCTTAGTTATGGTTGGCCTAAAAAAGGGTTGTTATATGCTAATTACTACAGAAGGGTTTTCAGATTTGTTTGAGTTGTTTAAAGCCATTGCATCTACTATACTTTTTAGTACAAGACATTTAAAAATGAAAAAAGATTTAGAGATGTTTTGCAGAGGAAAAAAGCATTAAAATAAGGGTACACTGAGCATTCTTAACCTCCTGAGGAAGGTGTATGATGGTCTTCCTACACCAGGACTGTTGAACTTTACTTAGTGAGGAGTCCAGAATAGGACTGAACATGTCTGGTCTGACTTCATTGTTATGTAGGATACCTCAGCTCATGATCAGAATTCATTTTTCATAGGATTACTTTGCCCCCGCTTTCCAATGGGTTGTAGCTTTGAAAGCCCCTTTTTCTCCAACTGCTAAAATCAAAATCTTGTGAGACTTTGAGTTAACTTTCTCCTGAGGCCCAGTGAGGGAAATGAAGCTTTCAATTGTTGTACTTTACTTGGGGGTGGGAGTGCAAGTTTAAATTAATCAGAACATCTTTGGGGCTAGGTGAAAAGCTTCCTATTTTACAGGGAAACAGCAATCATCTGAAGCTTAAACATATCTGCATTTAGTTCCTCCTAGGAGAAAAACATCATCATCTATAGGGAAATTTTTTAGCTATGCTGAGTCTTGCTTTTCACTTTCATCCTGCCCTTATCACAAGAAATCTAAGAAATCTTTCCATTTGCAGATGGATTGTACACTATGGTGTATATAGTATATAATGTATTTTATGTTTAAAATTTGTAAGATTAGATCTTAGTCTCACCAGATCTACTCATATGAGGTGATGAATGTTAATTACCTTATTTTAGTGATCATTTCAGTATATATATAT